TTATTGGCTCAGTCTCTGGACCAATGACCCTATTGTCAACAGAACCTATGAGCACACTAAAGTCTGTCTGAGCATCTATGGAGCCCTGGGCATTTTGCAAGATATCACTGTGTTTGGCTACTCCCTGACAGTGTCCATTGTGGGGATATCTTTGCTCTCCACTATCTGCACCTGGATCTTTTTGGCACCAGGGACTGTTTTCATGGAAGACAAATTTTCCATTGACCAGAGAGCAGGATGATGGTTTTGGGATGATTCAAGTGCATTACATTTATTGTACACTTTAGTTCTACTATTATTACATTGTAAGATATAATAAAATAATTATACAACTCACCATAGGTTGGGGACCCCTGTGCTGCACAATGTCCTATGATCTCTATGAGCTTTTTTTTTTATAACAAATCTTCAGTTTATTTGAAGCAACTCAGTTTCAAAAACTTTTAAGTTACAGCAGTCACAGAAAAAACAGAAACAATAAAAGAATAATCAAGAGTACTGCATTTTTTTGTTTGTTTTTAACACTGTCATGGCTTTATTCAAAACACAGTTGCACAAAAGTATTAACTTCAAAGTTTTTAAGGAGAGATTCTTAAGGAACTTAACACACTATATACATACTGCCATATAAAGAGCATTAAAATAGGACCAAAAACTTCTACAAAATAAAAAACCCACCCTTACTTATTTGCATGAAAATACCACCCACAAAGCTAAGTAAGTCTTAAAAGTTATCAGGAGGCTGTAAGTGTTGTTTTCAAACCAAAGAACTCTAATTTTGATTGCACAATAAGATGATTGATAAGAAAGTTAATATATAGATTTCATTTTAAAAATAAGTATTTTATAATCTGGTATAGTATGTATGCAATGAGAATTCTTAGGGACTAGAACAGGGCATTTCAATGTTTTAAATTGGAAGAAAAATGTGAGTCTTTTGGAGATTCCAATCCCCCTACTACTAAACTTGTCCTAAGTGTTTTATTTCAGTCACTTGTACAACTTTTTTAGTTTCTCCACAAATAACTTCATAATTTTTAATTTAAAATGCCAAGTCATACATTTTAAACTAAAAAGGAAGCAGCAGCAGTACTATACTCAGTAATTTAAATGTGTCCCAGTATAGAAGCATAATTTCAGTTAATTTGCTGACACTTTTTAAAAATTTACAAATATTCAAAACAAAGTAAAAAATTTTACATAGCCAAGACTAAAAAAGCATTTGCCTTGAACATGGAGCCTCCATGACAAAAATGGAGATGCACTGGTCTACTCATTATATTTTATTTAGTAGCCATATAAAGAAACACACACACTTATGCCAAATATTTTTTCTATTTTAAATGAACATCCACTTGAAAACAAATCTTAATTTTAATACCAATTTAGTTTCAAATATTTTTCCTACTGCCTAGTATATTCCAAATAATGCTATAGCTGGTAATGCTTTAAAACTGTTAAAGGTTCTACTTGGGAAAATTAGAAATACTTTGCACAGTGATATCCAAATCATCTGAGAAGCCAACTTAAAAATTTGACTTGAATATCTTATTATCAACAGGCAATTGTTCTGACTTTTGAGGAACATTAATGCTGCTTCCAAAAGCCTCTGCTTTTCTTTTTTCTTCCTACTAATAGTCTTAGATGTTCGACTAAGAAAGATTTACACTAAGCAGAGCTTGTTGCATAAAACTGTATCAATAATATTTGTAGCTAAGAAAATACTCAATTACTTTCATTTCACTTATTTAAAACTCAAGACAGATCTGAAAAGGTGGTTGAGGTATAAGACTAAAAGTTTTCCTAGGTATCTACAAACTTCCCAACTTTCTTCTGAGATAGAAGGGAGTGAAACAAGAAGGGAAAGGTGATTATAAAAGAATTGCTGAGAAAAAGAATGCACACCTAAAACCAAAACAAAATAAACAACCACTGGCGTGTCATGATCTGCAGCCTGATGAAAGGGCTCACCTGCATATCTCTGGACTTAGTATAAGCAATTTGTCCTTCAAAAAGAAAATCTTATAGGTCACCACAAAATCCATGAACTGCATTACTGAATGGCACCTCCTCAAAATCCATGAACTATTAATATATTGCTGAACAGAACCTTTATTATTCTGCTTCTACTTTCCAAGTTACTTATGGGACCAAAAAAGCACTCAAATACTCTTACTAAAAAAAAAGCCACTGCCTTCAAACTAATGATCTCTGGATCACCTCTAAAAAAATAACCAACCCATCATTCAAGAGACTATTGTCATTTCATATTACAGCTTACTGTAATTTCAGTTAATTTATAAATAACTTTAAAACCTTATGAGTGAAATGCACCATACTACACCTGTGTAAAACTGATCATGTTTTAATTATGGGGTAAAAATGACTAATATAATGAGCTTGAATTAGAAAAATTAACATTCTAAATAAATCGCTAAGGAATTTCAAATCGGGGACCAAGAAAATTTTTCTCTACATACAATATGATCATTAACAGACTAGTAAATCTTATTTGGAATGATAAGGCAAAAATAGTAAAACCACACTTTTCCTATAAAAAGTTACACATTATCTTCTGTAGAGACAGCTATTGTACATGAAGAAACAAAGATGTGATCACTCTATTGCACACCCATGAATATTAGGGAATCTGGTCCTAGAATGATCTAGTCATCTTCTTCCTCTCCATCATCTTCAGCATCTCGTTTCCTCTTCTCCCCTCGAAGACTTTCTTCTTCTGGAAGAATAGAGGAAAAGTGTAATTAATTTTGACAAGTGAATATGTGTTAAGTTACGAAGTTTTGAATCTTAGTGAAAAGTTAATGGCAAAAGAAAATTATTTAAGTTTCCTCTCTGAATTTTTCCTTTTTTTTTCCTTCTTTTTTGAGACAGGGTCTCACTCTCTTGCCCAGGCTAAAGTACAGTGGCATTATCACAGTTTGCTGTAATCTCAAACTCCTGGGCTCAAGTCAATCCTCCTGCTTCAGCCTCCCAAGTAGCTGGGCCCAAAGGCATGCACCACCATGCCTGACTAATTTTTCTATTTCTTGTAGAGATGGGGTCTCACCATGTTCCTCAGGCTGGTCTCCTGGCCTCAAGTGATCCTCCCGCCCCCAGCCTCCCACAGTGCTAGGATTACAGGCATGAGCCACTGTCTGCAGCCTCCTCTGAATTTCTTTCCACTGCTATGTGATGAAGACTTACAAATCCATAATGACAGCTTGCTATGCACCCTTGTGGCCAAATCATGAAGTACGAATCAAGAAACAGGACTTGGCATCAATGGAATTGTTAGTAAATTTTAAAAATTATTTTGAAAGACCTAGGTAAAGAGTACCACAGAACAAATCTTAAAAGGGCATTATCTGGAGTTCAACTGTTCTTCTTCTATGGATAAGGCTTTACTCTTTCCAAAATGACAGACCTTTAAAAAATTAATAAATTCAGTTCAAGATTCCATTAATCTCTTCATTCCTGTTTTTAAAATAAACATCAGCTTGGGCAACACAGCAAGACTCATATCTACAAAAAATAAAAAAACTAGCCAGGTGTGGTGCCAAATGCCTGTATGTCCCAGCTACTTTGGAGACTGATGCAGGAAGATCACTTGAGCCCAGGAGTTCGAGGTTACAGCCAACTATGATCCTGACACTGCATTCCAGCCTAGGCAGCAGGGCAAGACCTTGTCTCCAAATGAATAAATTAATAAAATAAAATGTTATAAACTATTTATTTTTAATGGAAATAATGAATGCCCTGAGACAATTACTCTTTAAAAAACTTTTATACCTTTCAAGGCACTCCATAATAAACAAAGCAAAATCAAAGGGATCAATAATAACTTACTAGACTCATTCTTTAAAGCCCATGAAAAATAGCTGTGTCTTTAATTTCAGAATTTGTTTATGGCTAGTGTAACTCACCCTCTTCTTCTTCTTCTTCCCCTTCTTCAACATAGTCATCATCATCTTCTTCATCCTTGAAATTCAAATATTCAGTTTGAGAATAAAATAAACCATGACACAGATTTTTCACTGTCTGTTGTAATATATTCCAACAAGAACAAAGAAACTAAGGTTATTTTGTGTTCTGACAACCTCTGTCTACCTTCTATAGGTCTTTTTTAAAATCTTACTAAATCTTTATGAAAGTTTCTTTATGAAAAATAAATTATGCTTTAGACCAGCACTATTCAAAAGAACTTTCTGTAATAATGGAAATGTTCTACGTCTGTGTTGTGCAATATAGTAACCACCAGCCACACATGGCTACTGAGCATTTGAAATATAACCAGTGCAAATGAAAAACTGAATTTTTAATTTTTATTGAATTTGAACCAATTCAAATAGTCACATACACCTACCACCTACTATAATGAACAGAGCAACTTTTGACAATGTTAAAAACAGGATCTTCTATTTTACAGATAAAGGTAAGAAAATGCACTGAATCCTAGTCCCAATATAGTTATGTGTTTTGAATAAGTCACTTTATCTCTCTGGACCTCAGTTTTTCAATCAATAAAATATTTATCTAGAAAAACCTGTAAGTTCCTCCTACATAGAAAAATGTACACAACAAAATAGTAAATGTCAACAAAAATCAAGCCGGGCGCGGTGGCTCACGCCTGTAATCCTAGCACTCTGGGAGGCTGAGGCGGCGGATTGTTCGAGGTCAGGAGTTAGAAACCAGCCTGAGCAAGAGCGAGACCCCGTCTCTACTATAAATAGAAAGAAATTAATTGGCCAACTAATATATATATAAAATTAGCCGGGCATGGTGGCGCATGCCTGTAGTCCCAGCCACTCGGGAGGCTGAGGCAGCAGGATTACTTGAGCCCAGGAGTTTGAGGTTGCTGTGAGCTAGGCTGACGCCACGGCACTCACTCTAGCCTAGGCAACAAGCGAGACTCTGTCTCAAAAAAAAAAAAAAAAAAAAGTTAAAAAAACAAAAAAAACAAAAATCACAATTAAAAAAATGATCTACAACTCTTGTGAAGTTATTCTGGATAGCTATGACTTAATCCAGGGGTGGGGAACCTTTCCATGTTGGAAGGCTGCATTAATTTCACTGTAATCAAATAAGGCCGCATTCAAGAAACTTCACGTAGATATCCTTAAAAATGTACATTACTTTGTAAAAATCTAACTACTACTATTTACTTAATCTCAAAAAATGAAAACTATTTGTTAATTTTAAAGTTAACTAACCTTTAAATAACTTTGTTATGTCTACTTTTTGTTGGAAAGCATCTGAATATTTGGTTGCAGCACAGAGGTCTGCAGTTTCAGTTGATCCTCTAGATGAGTATCAGTCATTTGTGACCTTAAGGGTGTCATGATTTGAGTTGGGTAGGAGAAAGTAGCTTTGCAGGAATAAGTGGTTGAAAAGCAAGAAAGCATTTTTCGGACATGTTGCCAAAAGCATGAGTATTCTACTACATTTTTCCATGTCACAATTGGATCTTTCTTAGCATCAAACAATGATTTTAAAATGATTTTAAAATACTAAGAGCTCAATTACGTCCATCTGTAGTTCTTTAGGTGCCTTGGTGATATCAACTAGGTGAGGCAGAAATGCTAATTTGAGTGTGATGTCATGATTCTCAAAGTCAGTGAACCTTTCAGTGTATTCTCCAATTAACAGGTCTATAACAGCTGTGTATTCTTCAAATAACTCACATATATCATCCTGCTCATAAATGACCTAACTAGAGAAAATGTTCACCTGAAATTTTCTTTTAAAGAAGTGTTTTGGAAAAAGAGCTTTGAGTTTTTTCCCAAATACTTGGATTTTTTGCCACATATCATATATAGATTTAGTTTTACCTTGCAAAGAAATATTCAAGTTGTTTTGATTTGACATATCACACAGATATGCTGCATTCCTATAGAAATCTTCTTTCATTATTTCACATTGCTGATTCTGTTCTTCATAAAATTTAACTACCTGTTCTCACACACTTAAAATTTTGGCTAATACCTGTCCCTGTGATAGCCAATGCACTTTAGAATGGTATGGCACAGCCAGGCTGAATACTTCATCATTCAACTTTAGCATGTTACAAAACTGAACATGCATGAATATAGTTAATACTCATAATTTGTTGCAAAGTATCACTTAAAACAGTATCTTTAACACAGATTTTTTTTTTTTGAGACAGAGTCTCATTTGTTCCCCAGGATAGAGTGAGTGCTGGGGTGTCAGCCTAGCTCATAGCAACCTCAAACTCCTGGGCTCAAGCAATCCTCCTGCCTCAGCCTCCCAAGTAGCTGGGACTACAGGCATGCACCACCACGCCTGGATAATTTTTTCTATATATATTAGTTGGCCAATTAATTTCTTTCTATTTATAGTAGAGACGAGGTCTCGCTCTTGCTCAGGCTGGTTTTGAACTCCTGACCTCGAGCAATCCACCCACCTCGGCCTCCCAGAGTGCTAGGATTACAGGCGTGAGCCACCGCGCCCGGCCAACACAGAGATTTTGCTAGTGCCAGATACAATAAAAAGAAACAAGAGCATCTGGATCTGTTAATACTTTTTTATCTGTGCAATAAACCCTTCATGTTTTCCTGTCATGGAAGGTGCACCAACTGCACATACGTTCATTAAATTTACCAAATTCAGTCCAACTTCACATTTATCTTGAAAGCTGTTCAAGATAACTATTCCCTAAGTTCTGTTTGTAAGAGTGCCCAAAGTGAGTAACTTCATAGCAAAGAAAATCTTCTGTTATGCCCTGAAGGAACTATAAAACCTGTACAAAGTCAGTAGCATCAGTTGATTCATCCAAAGCTCATTCATCCAAACTCAATAATATATATTTTCCTTTTGAAGTATTGCATGAAGTTGTTCTGTTAAGTTGAAGGCTAATTCATGCTGACAATCAGCTATGGTTCTCCTTGAAAGAGGCAGTTGTTTGTACATTGAAACGTTATTGGGGTCTGAGCATCCTACAACTTCGACAATGCATTCTTTCACAATTTCTACAACACTGAATGGCTTCCTTTCCTCCCCCAATATACAAGCTACTTTATATACTGCGTCAGTGGCATTATGTGCGGGTTTTATTTCTGCTTGAAAGAATCATCTTTGCTTTCCCTTTAAATTTCTGCAATACAACCTTTCACACCTCTCCCTCTAATTTAAAATATTTATGGTCCTTATGAGTGTTATAATGCTGATGAACGTTGAATTTCTTTTTCTT